CGCCCGGCCCCGCAGCGCCAGGGAGTAGCAGCGGGTGAGCGCTGCCTCTGCGCATGCGGGACTTGCCCCCGATCTGCGCATGCCCAGAGCTTGAGCGGCACAAAACCCTTCTCCGGCCACGGGAGAGGCTTCAACGGCCCCGCACGAGCCAGGGAGAGCCGCAGCGCCCCGCGCGCGTTTGCAGCCGGGTTCGGGCTCATCCTCCCACGTCCCTATGTCACTTCCGCTCCCGGGAGAATCAGGAACTACATCTCCCAGCGTGACCCGGAGATCGCTTCCGCCCTCTTCATCTCAGGGAAGGGAGGGTTTCAGCAGCTGTTACTGCGCATGCTCCTTTCCAGCCCCTTTCGTTTTTCCCTCCCTCCCGGCCAACGTCACTATCGGTGCTGCCTCGGTGTGATCCGGCCGGGGGGGCTTTCTCCTGAGCCCCCCGGTGAGTGAGAGACCCCGAGGGGCGCAGGGGCCGGGCAGGAAAGTGACTCTCCGCCCCGGGGAACCTGGGAGAAGCCTCGGAGCTGCCTCAGCCCCTGTGGAGCTGCAGCAGGATCTGCCCCCGGCCCCGCTGGGATTGGGGGGCAGAGACGGGGGCCCCGGGGGGGTCCCCTGTGGGTCAGTGGGATGCGGGGGGCGGGCGAGTTGAACTGTCTCTGTGCAGCAGGAAATCCCCGGGGGAGAAGTGGTGGGCGGGGGAAGAGGGGAGGGGAGTAAATTGGATCCTGTCCCTGTTTGTGCCACTTGCCTCTTACACCCCGGTACAAATTCTCTCTAGTTCTTCCCCTTTTCTCTCTCAGTATCTCACACGTGGTTATAAAATCCGGGGAGAGAGATTCCCCCCTTTCCCCTCAACAGATCAGTTCTCTCCTCTCCCCCGATTTCCCCCCGGTCTCTCCATAATTCTGATTTTCCACCTTGAATTGCAGTTTGTGACACATTTTCTCTGCAAATCTCAAAGATTGATATAAAATACCCTAAACATTTGCCCCACTTCTCTCTAGTTGTCTATTTCTAATTGAATATGCCCTGAGATTTTCGCCCGTCTCTCTGATTTTAAAATACAAAAGAAATTTCAGATTTACCCCTTTTCTCAGATTCTTGGAACATGGTTATAAAATGTTTTCAAATGGTGCCCATTTCCTTTCTCTTCATTTAACAAATGTTGATGGGAAACACTCTCAGATTTCCAGCCTTTCTCTTTCATTTCTATGTTATTATCAAATGTCAATTAAAAATCCGTTCATGTTTGGGGCTGTTCCACATGTTTCTAAATCCCAGCAAATTCTTCTTCCTCGGAGGGAACCTGTTGTCCTGAGTCCTTCCTCCATCTTGGAGGTTGCAGGGGATTAAATTGCCTGTGATCATCTCTCCCCACTCCTTTGAGAATCATTTCTTCCCCCCACCCTTTTATCTCTGTTAAAATGTTTGCCGATGAAAGAGATCAGCCACATATTTAATATACATCAAAGCCAGAGGCCTCCCCCTGTTTGGGGATCAGTGGCCCCCACCTGGTAACAGGAGAGTTGGCTGGACTCTTTTCTTTTCTCCAGCTGGCACAGGATAAGGGGTTGATTCCTGCAGTGCTAAGATGTAGCCACCTCTGGGGTGGATCCATGGTGACCATTATTTGCTGGTGACAGGCCATGGACATTTCTTAGTTTTCTTGCCCTCCAGGCCTTCCATTCTCTTGTTCAAGAGGCATCCTCCAGGGCTCCCTCTGCCTGTGTGACTGGCCAGCAGGGGGTGGTGATAACTTTCTATCCACTTCTCAGACACTGTGAGGTAACACTGTTGCTCTGGGGGCAAGGGGTGTCTGTGTGGGGAGATTACAGCTGGAGCTGAAGGGGCATTGTGGGAAGGGGAGGTGTTTGGGTGAATGGACAGGGGGTACCCTAGTCAGGTTGGTGGGTTCTGGAGGTTTGGGGCTTCAGGGGGTGGGTTCTGATGTGCCCAGCCCTGAGGCTATGGGTCCTGGAGGTGGGTATCGCTGAGGGTCTGTTGGCTGCAGAACAGTGGGAGTGGAGATCTCTTGGGGAGGAGGGGCAGGGGGTTAGAGGGAGCCTGGTGCTGTGCCAAGGGCTCTGTCTGGGCTTCCCCTGCTGGCTCCTGGGATCGTTGCCATGCCCAGTGCACAGAGCTGGTGGGGGGTGGAGCTCTGGCACTAGGTCAGGGAATGCCAGGGAAGCAGAGTGAGGGGTCCCACTGTAAAGCATCAGGGGGTCCTGCTGGGCAGAGGAGGGGGTCCCAGACAAACGGCATGGCAGATCCTGCTGGAGGGCGGGGCAGGGGGGTCCTAGGCAGGCAGTGAGGGACTGAGTTCCCAGTGGGGGGATTCCTGGGGGGGGGATCCCTGGCTGCTGGGGGCTCTTGGTGGGGGGAATCCTTTGGGATTCCCAACCTGGCAGTCATGGTCTGGTGGGGATTCCTTGGCCAGTGGGGCTTTGAGGGGTATCTGGGGTCCCTGGCCAGGGACGCTGGGGGCTGTGTCCCAGGAATATCTGATGGGACCCTGGCTGGGAGGTGTCTGGGGGCTCTAGCAACTGCTACTAACCATGATCCTTTTCCCTGATCAACTTGTGCCAGAGTCCTGGCTCCAAGCACCGCCCGGCATTCTCCAGACACATGCCCTGTCACTGATACTTTCTATCCACTTACCAAACACTGTTAGTGTGAAATCACAGATTTTGCTTTTCTCCTCTTTTGAAAACTGCAGGAACTTTCGGTTCTGTTTGGAAAATTTGTGGCCCCCAGTCCTTGTTCTCAATCTGGGGGTGAGGGAGGTGGGAAGGAGGTTAGCACTGCCACACAATGGTCTCTTCTACAGCATTCTGGACTCATTCTTTCTGAAATCTGGTTTCATTGAGACGAAGGTTAATCAAGAATCACTGTATGGAAAGACAAGGAGTGACTCCAGATGGACAGTGGGGCAAATGAGATCAGCAATTCTCCCTGTGAGGAGGGGCTCTCATTAGCTGCTTTCCCCAGAGAGCTAGAGGAGGGAAGCTGCTCAAATGCTCTGTCCCTCTCTGCTCAGGATATTTGGGTTCAGCTTCCTGGGTCACACGCTGCAGCCTCCATTGTGATCTGGGAGACCAGGCTTAGCAGCTGCTGCTTCCCCACCGGGGGTTCTGTGCTGGGAAGTGACCTTAATTAAAGCGGCTTCTCTGTCCGGCCCAGGTGATGGCTTTCTCCGGCAGGTACTAGCCCCATAGGGCAGCCCTGAGCCCTGTTAATACTAAATTCTGAGCCAGACATTCCAAGTAACTGAAAGAAACAAAAGGAAAATGCTGGGGCTCTGGCCTTAAAATGACTCTACACAAACAGACACCCCTCATTTCTTGTCCCATTAGCAATTGCAGGAGCAAATCCAGCCATGGGGAGCAAACAACCCAGGAATGGGACTTTCCTACCAGACAGGCAGGGAGAGAGGACAGGGAAAAAGAGATAGGAGAGACTGAAAGGGGCCGTGGGAGAGAAGAATTTTGAGAGAGATTTCCAGATCTCTAATCTGCCCAGACAGATGTATTACTGCACCCTGGATAGAGTCACTTTCCTCTGGAAAAGGTGAGGATCAGACAGAGGAAAATCCAGTTTCTGACTCCATATCCCTCCTGCTGGGGTGTGGCTGCTGTGGTGTCAGTGTCTGAGAGAATCCCCCACAGTGAATCCTTTGGTTCTGTTTTTTTCTAGCCTTGTGTTCAGAGACTTTGTTATGGGATGGGGAGAGGGAGAAGGGAGGTTAAAAATGTCTCTGGGCTTAGCCTGGCAGGAGGGGCCAAGTCTACACTGTATAAAGAGATCAAGCCTTTCTCAAGCATGGTAGAATCTAGGGTGTCTGTCTACAGGGAAAGGGCCTGGGGGAATCGTGCTGTGAAATTAATTAAAGCCTGTTCTGAAACCTCCACAACTGCCCTTCTCACCCTGCCAGGCTGCAGAATGATGTCCATGTTTCGCTCCAGTTCATCCCGTCCTCTCATTGGACAGGGGAGAGAAATGGCTGCAGAGGAGTCAGTCCAGGTAGGTATTATCAGGGGGTGGTTGGTGGGTTCCTGCAGGTGGGAGAGGGGCAGCAAATACACCGGAGATGGGAAGGTTGCACAGTCTGGTTTGGAGGTTGGAGCGGGGCAGGAAATGCACAGGGTGGAGAAATGGAGGAGGACAGCGTGTGGAAAACCTGCTGGGAGTTGTTTAATAAGTGGCTTAGATTCTAGGAACAGACCCATGAGGTTCGGTGGTGGAAATGACCTAATTTGTTGAACAGAAAATAACCGACCTACATGGAGCTAGGAAAACTGACCAAACTCATAGTGCTGAAGCCTGATCTGACTAACTAGTGGCTGCTGTGAGATAGAGAGGGGGCACCCACCAGTCAGGCTTAGAGGAGATTCCCCTCCCTTCATATCCAGCTCTTCAGAATGAGGAGGGTGTTGGGCTTCCTACCAGGGAGCTCTCCCTGGACCCTGCTTGGGGCTGCATCTCCTGTATCAGTCTGTGGCTAATAGGTGTGTGATGGATCTGCTGGGAAAGCGGAGGGGCTCTGTCTTCATCCCCTCACCTGCTCCTCACCTGGTGTTTCCTGGATGCTCTGAGCAGGGTGGGAGTGGGACTTTGTTGACTGCAATTCACCCAGGGCTTCCCTTTGATGGGCTCCTCTCCCCCACAAATAGTGAGGCTGTGAGTGGAGCAGCAGGTACTGAGTGTTGGACTCTTGCTATTTCAGGGGCTGGTGACCTTCGAGGAGGTGGCTGTGTATTTCACCAGGGAAGAATGGGCTCTGCTGGACCCCACACAGAGAGCCTTCTACTGGGATGTCATGCAGGAGAACTATGAGAATGTGACCTCAGTGGGTAAGAGTTACTGTCCCCTTGGTTCTTGGAAGGGGAAATGAAGAATTAAGGTTCACGCCAGCCCCATAATGCCACCTCTACTCTGCCCAGTTTCAGCATCACCCCAAAATGCCAGTGACACCTCCCCCCCACCGCTGCAGAACACTTTGGGAACAGAGCACAGGAGCAGTATCGTGCAGTGTCAAATATCTCCTTTTTGCTCAAGTAAAACTGAGCGTTAGGTGCGGCATAATCAACAGAAGCTTCCTACCCCTGAGCCTTCTCCACCCAAACCTGAATGCGCTTGGGGTGTAACGAGCAGGCTGCTGGAGTCAGAGCTGCTGGTCTAGGCTTGCGTATCACACAGACACTCCGTGCGTCCTTGAAGGAAGCTCAGTGGCAGATTTAATGTTAGTGGGGCCCTGTGCTCAGCTGCATTTTTGGTGTCCCTCCTTGGGACCCAGGCAAGAAAAAGAACATTCTCTCTTATCTCCCCCCCCCACCCCGATTTTTCATTCTTTTTTTTTCTTCATCCTTCTCCTGTTAGTAATAGGAAGTAAATGAAAATAAAGTGAGGTACCTTGATTGTTCTTGTAGTCTAACTGATTTTTCCACAGACCACTTGAAAATCGCTGAGGGTCTCGGTGCACCACTTAATGATCTTTCCAAATATTGTTTGTACCGTTAGCTAACTATTGTAAAGCGCTTTGGATAAGAGCCCTTTATAAAAAAAAATGTAAAAAACGTTGGGGTGCAGGGTCTGGCCAGGAGTTAGGGTGTGGGAGGGGGCTCAAGGCTGGGGCAGGGGGTTGGGATGTGGAGCGCTTACCTGGGGCAGCTCCTGTTTCATGTGAGTGATGCAGGTGGGGATGTGGGGGGACAAGAGTCAGGGTGGGCAGGAGTCAGGGCTGGGTGTGTGTGAGGGGCAGGGGGCTGGGGGTGTTTGTGGGGGAAGGGGTTATGGGTATTTGCAGGAATCAGGGAGGGCAAGGAACTGGGGTGTGTTTGAGAGGGGTGAAGGAGTAAGGGCTGGGTGTGTGTGAGGGGGTCAAGAGTCAGAGAGGGCTTGGTGTGTGTGAGGGGGTGCAGGAGTCAGGGATGGGAGTGTGTGAGGGGGTGCAGGAGTCAGGGACGGCAGGGTGTTCAGGGTGCAGGAGTCAGGGCTGGGGGTGCAGAGTCTGGGAGGGAGTTAGGGTGCAGGAGCAGGCTGGCGATTGGGGTGCAGGGTCTGGTCAGGTTTTAGGATGCAGGAGGGGGCTCAGGGTTGGGACCGGAGGTTGGGGTGTGGAGTGCTTACCTGGGGCAGCTCCCATTTGGTGCGAGGGGTGCAGATGGCAATGTGGGAGGGGGTGCAGGAGTTCCCATTTGGTGTTCAGGGTGGGGGTGAGGATGTGGGTGGGGTTCAGGAGTCAGGGCATGGGGTGTGAGGGCTGGGTATGTGTGAGGGGATGCAGGAGTCAGGTCTGGGGACTGGGGGTGTGGGCTGGGGTCGTGGGGGTGCTCTCAGCCCCCTACCCTGAGTGGCTCACAGCAGGGGCTAGGGTTGGGGGGGTATGTGATAGGGGAGTGCTTTGTAAAGCAGTGAGCAAGTGACCAGGGCTGCTAACAGGGAGTTTCGTGAGGGAGTTTGGAAGGGGAGTGGGAGGGGGGCGAGGTACACTTGCCATTCTTTAAAACATTTAAGCTATAATACAAACTTCTTGATTTAAACAAAACCCCTATTGTTAACCTAGGTAGCTGTAAGAGAGAATGCAGACAGAAGCCCAGCAGCAGAGTGGGGGCTATCCTGTTTATTGCACACAATGTAGCATGTATGATTACCTGCCCTGTGGGCGGGTGGCGTATGTGTGCGTTCGGTGCAAGGAGCTCCTGGCCCTCAGAGACCGCATGGAGGCTTTGGAGGCCAGGGTGGTGGAACTGGAGACGCTAAGGGAGGCAGAGAAGTATGTTGATGAGGCTTTCCGGGAAACTGTAGATTTCTCCCACCTCTGGATAGACCGCCCCTGCACTGTTGAGGAGGATGAAAGGCCCAGGGAAGCAGAGCAGTCAATGGGAGCAGAGGGAAACCTTCCCATAGTTGGGACCCTCCTTCCAGATAGTGTTGAGGTAACCTCTTACACTGAGGTTACCTCGCCAGGGGAGGGAACTCCAGTCATTAAGAAAAGGCAGCTGTAAGTAATGGGAGATTCGATCATTAGAAACAAGGATAGCTGGGTTTGTGATGACCAGGAGAACCGTATGGTGACTTGCCTGCCTGGTACAAAGGTTGCTGATTTCTCGAGGCATCTAGTTAGATTTATGTGTAGTGCTGGGGAGGAGCCGGTGGTCGTGGTACATGTAGGCACCAATGACATAGGGAAGGGTAGGTGAGACATCCTGGAGGCCAAATTTAGGCTCCTAGGAAAGAGACTGAAATCCAGGACCTCTATGGTGGCATTCTCAGAAATGCTTCCAGTTCCACGTGCAGGGCCAGGTACGCAGGCAGAGCTTCAGAGTCTCAATGCGTGGATGAGACAATGGTGTAGAGAGGAGGGGTTTAGATTTATTAGGAACTGGGGAAACTTTGGGGATGGGGGGAGCCTATACAGGAAGGATGGGCTCCACCTAAACCAAAGTGGAACCAGACTGCTGGCACTTAACATTAAAAGGTTGCAGAGCAGTTTTTAAACTAAGAGATGGGGGAAAGCCGATGGCTGCAGAGGACCATGTGGATCGGACAGAGACTTCTCTTAGAGGAGAGTCTAGTGATAGAGATTTTCTAGTTTTTAGTCAGGAAGAGAGGCTGGAAGAGGATAAAGTAGGGGCCAGATCAGACGAGAAGCATTCACACACACAAGAATCTGACACATCAGAAAAGGGCAGACAAATAAACAGTGATAAGTGGTTGTACACAAATGCTAGAAGTCTAAATAATAAGATGGGTGAATTAGAGTACCTCGTGTTAAAACCGGATATTGACATAATAGGCATTACAGAAACCTGGTGGAGTGAGGACAATCAGTGGGACACAATCATTCCAGGGTACAAAATATGTCGGAAGGACAGAGCAGGTCATACTCGGGGGGTGGAGGAGGGAAGGGGGGGAATGGCACTGTATGTATGAAATAACTACTGTCTATTTACTCTTTTTTATAATTTGATGAAATTATTCTGCTATCTTATCCATAATTT